TTAATAAACGCAGGTAGGTCCTTAATGTTTGCAATAAACCGCAACAAATGTGTTGGATTCGGTTTCAATATGGAATTTCTGGCCTATTGGAAGAAGTCGCCTTATGCTTCAATTGATTTTTTGTGTTCTATTCAATTTTTTTTGAAAGGAAATGCCATCATTCGCTGCAAATTTTTTGGCTCAATCTATTGTCAGAAACGTGAGATTGAATGTGTATTTCTTTTTATGCTTGAAACTTTGGATATAAATATATAGTATTTCTAATTCTCTTTCTAAATTTCATAAATATTTTTTTTTCAAATGTATACTTTCTGACAAAGAGAGTCTCAGGAAGTACTCAAAATGTGATTTTTAATTTCATCACTTTTTTGGCGACACTAAGCGATTTTATTTAGAGAATTATTTTGGAAATTAGAGAATTTTCGAGATCAATTTCGTAAGTAAAGAACTTATTAGGAGATTGATAGGATATGGATATATTGCAATAAGACATTAGAACAATGTGATACTTAGCAAGATTAGATCTGAATATGGGAAATGAAACTGCAAATTCTCTAATTTTTTTTGTGAGCATTTATTGCATTTATTTGGTAAAGCTCACACATTGAACTGAGATTCTTTATGCGCTAAAGTATAAAAATAGTAAGTTTCCAATGTGTTTTTAAAATAATTGCACATAAACAAATACTGGCTGGAGCAATGCATTTAAAATATTATTAAGATTTATCATCGAAAATTATCAAAATTGATAATCCAAAAAGTCTTTGTAATATCCTTATGCATTTTTTTTCATTATTTATAATGAATTTATAGGCTTTAATGAAAATAAGAGAATGACTAGAATCATATTCTCTCGGCACATAGAATTGAAAATGGAGTTACTATAAAACTAAATGGATTTATTATTTTGGTGTAAAAAATAAATAAATTCAATTATTTAGTAAGAACTATGGTTTAATTTTTGCACCACGTGATATTAGAAATTTAGCTGCTTCTTCCTCATTATGAGTTATTGCACAACAAAGGGGAGTCATATCATGAAAACCCTTTGCATTGATGTCTGCTCCATGTGAAAGTAAAGTTTCTATAATTTCTTTATTACCATTACATGATGCAGTGAAGTGCAGTATAATCTTTATCTCTTATGTTGATATCAGCACCATTTGAGATAAGAAATTTTACTATTTCTTCACAACCATTTTCAGCGGCATAATGAAGAGCAGATTTTTTATAATTGTCTTCAATAGCATTGACATCAATACCGCATGCAATTAGAAGTTCTCAATTTCTTTACTATTTTCTCTTGCTGCAAAATGAAGAGCATTAAAACTACGAGAAGTTTTTGCATGTATATCAGCACCATATGCAATAAGGAGTTCTGCTGTTTCTTTACTGTTAAACAATGCTGCATGATGAAGAGGAGTCAAATCTTGATTACTTTTTGCATTAACATCAGCTCCATACGTTATAAGAAGATTTGCAGTTTCTAAACTATTATGTTCTGCAGCAATATGAATCGAAGATTTACGAGACATTTTAATTGTTGTAGCAACATTGGCTCCATGGGCAATAAGAAATTCAGCGGCTGATTTGTTATTAACAACTGAAGAATAATGAAGTGCAGACATACCTCCTTTATTTGTAAAATTTATATCGGAAACATGTGAAAATAAATATTCAATGAGATTAGGAATAAAAAAACAAGGTGAATAAGTAAAACATTCATTAAAATTGTTTGTTTGATCTAAATAAATGAAATATGCATGAATATTATGATAGTAATAGCAATAATTCAATTCTATTTCGAGGTTGTGCTCATTCATTAGATAAGTAACAAAATCAATGTTATGTACAGCTAGTGAATATTGCATACAACTGCCATTAATTTTTTGTTCTTTCATACATTCACTCATAATATCTGGATTTTCTCCTAAAAACGAATTATAAAGACAAAGACGAGTAGTTTTTGAATTATATTTTGATCTCAATAGTTTGAAACATTTAACAGATCCATAATAACTACATAATTCAATCAGTGAATATGGAAAGTCTTGAATTGGATATAAATCAATTTTCGATTTTTGATTTAAATTAAAACCTTCTTGTTCAGTGAAGGAAATAAATGCATCAATGTCATCATTCACAATAGCATTATAAATTGTGTTTTCTTCATGAAGATTTGGAATGGATTGAATAATGTCATATTTATCAAGGTGAAATTCTTGGCAAAGTTTTGTCATGAGAGATTTGTATCCTTTAACATATCGATTATTAAATCGAATGATACCTTTAATAATATTTATCATACTATCTGCACTAAATATGATGTTTCGATCAAGTTATTTTTGATTTGTTTGTAAACATTTGTAATTTCTTCACCTTCGTTAGACCGAAGCCTGTGTAGTGCATTAAATGTATCATCATAATCTTTATATTTACTGATAAGCTCGTTATAAATATGATGGTCGCTCATAAAAAAAGTATTTTTATCGGCGTGAAGACACAAAACAAGACAATCATTCAATATACCATAGTGAATGCATTCAAATACAAGAATTATACTTAAAGTCGATTTATTTATTGAAATTGAAATTATTTCTGTTTGAATACCAGAAAGAAAGAAAAAATACTTTGTATGCTCATTTAATTCTGATATCAAGAAAAAGCATGTGAGCATAGCAGGTTCAAAAGAATTTTTTTCGTACAAATGCTCAATCGAGTTAAAAATACTAATTGAAATATACGAAATTACAAAAAGTAAACATTTTATTCATATATTACTTAAAACTCATGTGCTTATTCTCAAAAATGGTCGAAACAATTTTATGATCTTAAACTTTGAATTTTAATTATGCCTTTATTCGTTCAGTTGAGTATATTCGTACAAACTCTCGTTATCTGATAAATTAACTATAATAAATTAACATTTTTAATAATTTGATGGTATTATTGGCTTGCTAGTATAATATAATATAAATTAGAGTTTGTTGCTCTAGAATGTATCTGGAACAATTGCATTGATCTCAGATTAAGAAATACTGCTAACAAGTTTATTATTTGCTTGTGTTCTGTAGAAAAACGAAATAAATCAAATCTTATTCATTGACTCGAATTGTGTATGAAAAACTATTGATTCAGCTTATGGGATATTGCTGCTCGGAGCACTTGCGAGATTTATGCCGAGCATAAATTTGAATGTCACTTTTTACCCTCAACAGCCCTTGTATAGTAATCTCAATTCAAATGATATTTAATTATTAGTTCAAACTTTTTCATTTGTGTTTTCAATTTTCAGAGGTTTTGAAAACAAAAATAATAGACAGGCTGAGAATTCGTACTCTATATTATATGGTATTTATATAACCTATATTTCTTATCGACTCTCTGAAATAAAGTTGTCATTTGACAAGACTGACATTTTATAATAATGTTTTTCTTGTTATGTGCCCGTCTTGTTGGAGCTACATTTGAAGAACAATCTTGCAGTGTATGCAAGATGCTAACATGGCGAGTTCCACAATTGCTTGCACAAGGTAAAAGCGACGAAAAAATTTCAAGGGAGTTCAACTGTTTTTGCCCCGCAGTAGAGTCAAGCTCCGCGTATGCATGCCGAGAGTATTGTTCTGCCATGAGGGCTCACAAGCGCGAAATAATCAGATACATTAAGGCAGGCGAGAAACCATCAGAAATATGTTTTTCACATAAGTTTTGCCCACAAAGCACCAATGGACATGCTCATCAAAGAGTATTTAAGAGAAGAGTTCCAAGAAGAGAATTAAAACCATAATTTCTGGAATAAAAGTTAATGCAAAAGCTTGAATCTTTACATTTTGTTATATAGTTTGAGCATATACATAACAACTAATATCGAAACATTTTATGTTTATATGTTTTCAAGAAAATTGAATTCTCAATAAGAAAAAAAAGTTTATTCTAGCAATAGTAAAAATACATCGTAGTGAGTAATGAGTCTACTAAGCATCTTGCTCATGGACATCGGATTTCTATGATAATTTCATGGGAAATGTGAATTTGATATTTTCATTTCTGGTTTAATAAACGCAGGTAGGTCCTTAATGTTTGCAATAAACCGCAACAAATGTGTTGGATTCGGTTTCAATATGGAATTTCTGGCCTATTGGAAGAAGTCGCCTTATGCTTCAATTGATTTTTTGTGTTCTATTCAATTTTTTTTGAAAGGAAATGCCATCATTCGCTGCAAATTTTTTGGCTCAATCTATTGTCAGAAACGTGAGATTGAATGTGTATTTCTTTTTATGCTTGAAACTTTGGATATAAATATATAGTATTTCTAATTCTCTTTCTAAATTTCATAAATATTTTTTTTTCAAATGTATACTTTCTGACAAAGAGAGTCTCAGGAAGTACTCAAAATGTGATTTTTAATTTCATCACTTTTTTGGCGACACTAAGCGATTTTATTTAGAGAATTATTTTGGAAATTAGAGAATTTTCGAGATCAATTTCGTAAGTAAAGAACTTATTAGGAGATTGATAGGATATGGATATATTGCAATAAGACATTAGAACAATGTGATACTTAGCAAGATTAGATCTGAATATGGGAAATGAAACTGCAAATTCTCTAATTTTTTTTGTGAGCATTTATTGCATTTATTTGGTAAAGCTCACACATTGAACTGAGATTCTTTATGCGCTAAAGTATAAAAATAGTAAGTTTCCAATGTGTTTTTAAAATAATTGCACATAAACAAATACTGGCTGGAGCAATGCATTTAAAATATTATTAAGATTTATCATCGAAAATTATCAAAATTGATAATCCAAAAAGTCTTTGTAATATCCTTATGCATTTTTTTTTCATTATTTATAATGAATTTATAGGCTTTAATGAAAATAAGAGAATGACTAGAATCATATTCTCTCGGCACATAGAATTGAAAATGGAGTTACTATAAAACTAAATGGATTTATTATTTTGGTGTAAAAAATAAATAAATTCAATTATTTAGTAAGAACTATGGTTTAATTTTTGCACCACGTGATATTAGAAATTTAGCTGCTTCTTCCTCATTATGAGTTATTGCACAACAAAGGGGAGTCATATCATGAAAACCCTTTGCATTGATGTCTGCTCCATGTGAAAGTAAAGTTTCTATAATTTCTTTATTACCATTACATGCTGCATGATGAAGTGCAGTATCATTCAGTTTATCTCTTATGTTGATATCAGCACCATTTGAGATAAGAAATTTTACTATTTCTTCACAACCATTTTCAGCGGCATAATGAAGAGCAGATTTTTTATAATTGTCTTCAATAGCATTGACATCAATACCGCATGCAATTAGAAGTTCTTCAATTTCTTTACTATTTTCTCTTGCTGCAAAATGAAGAGCATTAAAACTACGAGAAGTTTTTGCATGTATATCAGCACCATATGCAATAAGGAGTTCTGCTGTTTCTTTACTGTTAAACAATGCTGCATGATGAAGAGGAGTCAAATCTTGATTACTTTTTGCATTAACATCAGCTCCATACGTTATAAGAAGATTTGCAGTTTCTAAACTATTATGTTCTGCAGCAATATGAATCGAAGATTTACGAGACATTTTAATTGTTGTAGCAACATTGGCTCCATGGGCAATAAGAAATTCAGCGGCTGATTTGTTATTAACAACTGAAGAATAATGAAGTGCAGACATACCTCCTTTATTTGTAAAATTTATATCGGAAACATGTGAAAATAAATATTCAATGAGATTAGGAATAAAAAAACAAGGTGAATAAGTAAAACATTCATTAAAATCGTTTGTTTGATCTAAATAAATGAAATATGCACGAATATTATGATAGTAATAGCAATAATTCAATTCTATTTCGAGGTTGTGCTCATTCATTAGATAAGTAACAAAATCAATGTTATGTACAGCTAGTGAATATTGCATACAACTGCCATTAATTTTTTGTTCTTTCATACATTCACTCATAATATCTGGATTTTCTCCTAAAAACGAATTATAAAGACAAAGACGAGTAGTTTTTGAATTATATTTTGATCTCAATAGTTTGAAACATTTAACAGATCCATAATAACTACATAATTCAATCAGTGAATATGGAAAGTCTTGAATTGGATATAAATCAATTTTCGATTTTTGATTTAAATTAAAACCTTCTTGTTCAGTGAAGGAAATAAATGCATCAATGTCATCATTCACAATAGCATTATAAATTGTGTTTTCTTCATGAAGATTTGGAATGGATTGAATAATGTCATATTTATCAAGGTGAAATTCTTGGCAAAGTTTTGTCATGAGAGATTTGTATCCTTTAACATATCGATTATTAAATCGAATGATACCTTTAATAATATTTATCATACTATCTGCACTAAATATGATGTTTCGATCAAGTTATTTTTGATTTGTTTGTAAACATTTGTAATTTCTTCACCTTCGTTAGACCGAAGCCTGTGTAGTGCATTAAATGTATCATCATAATCTTTATATTTACTGATAAGCTCGTTATAAATATGATGGTCGCTCATAAAAAAAGTATTTTTATCGGCGTGAAGACACAAAACAAGACAATCATTCAATATACCATAGTGAATGCATTCAAATACAAGAATTATACTTAAAGTCGATTTATTTATTGAAATTGAAATTATTTCTGTTTGAATACCAGAAAGAAAGAAAAAATACTTTGTATGCTCATTTAATTCTGATATCAAGAAAAAGCATGTGAGCATAGCAGGTTCAAAAGAATTTTTTTCGTACAAATGCTCAATCGAGTTAAAAATACTAATTGAAATATACGAAATTACAAAAAGTAAACATTTTATTCATATATTACTTAAAACTCATGTGCTTATTCTCAAAAATGGTCGAAACAATTTTATGATCTTAAACTTTGAATTTTAATTATGCCTTTATTCGTTCAGTTGAGTATATTCGTACAAACTCTCGTTATCTGATAAATTAACTATAATAAATTAACATTTTTAATAATTTGATGGTATTATTTGGCTTGCTAGTATAATATAATATAAATTAGGAGTTTGTTGCTCTAGAATGTATCTGGAACAATTGCAATTGATCTCAGATTAAGAAATACTGCTAACAAGTTTATTATTTGCTTGTGTTCTGTAGAAAAACGAAATAAATCAAATCTTATTCATTGACTCGAATTGTGTATGAAAAACTATTGATTCAGCTTATGGGATATTGCTGCTCGGAGCACTTGCGAGATTTATGCCGAGCATAAATTTGAATGTCACTTTTTACCCTCAACAGCCCTTGTATAGTAATCTCAATTCAAATGATATTTAATTATTAGTTCAAACTTTTTCATTTGTGTTTTCAATTTTCAGAGGTTTTGAAAACAAAAATAATAGACAGGCTGAGAATTCGTACTCTATATTATATGGTATTTAAATAACCTATATGAGAGTTTTATATCTTATCAACTCTCTGAAAAAAAGTTGTCATTTGACAAGACTGACATGACAACATTTTATAATAATGTTTTTCTTGTTATGTGCCCGTCTTGTTGGAGCTACATTTGAAGAACAATCTTGCAGTGTATGCAAGATGCTAACATGGCGAGTTCCACAATTGCTTGCACAAGGTAAAAGCGACGAAAAAATTTCAAGGGAGTTCAACTGTTTTTGCCCCGCAGTAGAGTCAAGCTCCGCGTATGCATGCCGAGAGTATTGTTCTGCCATGAGGGCTCACAAGCGCGAAATAATCAGATACATTAAGGCAGGCGAGAAACCATCAGAAATATGTTTTTCACATAAGTTTTGCCCACAAAGCACCAATGGACATGCTCATCAAAGAGTATTTAAGAGAAGAGTTCCAAGAAGAGAATTAAAACCATAATTTCTGGAATAAAAGTTAATGCAAAAGCTTGAATCTTTACATTTTGTTATATAGTTTGAGCATATACATAACAACTAATATCGAAACATTTTATGTTTATATGTTTTCAAGAAAATTGAATTCTCAATAAGAAAAAAAAGTTTATTCTAGCAATAGTAAAAATACATCGTAGTGAGTAATGAGTCTACTAAGCATCTTGCTCATGGACATCGGATTTCTATGATAATTTCATGGGAAATGTGAATTTGATATTTTCATTTCTGGTTTAATAAACGCAGGTAGGTCCTTAATGTTTGCAATAAACCGCAACAAATGTGTTGGATTCGGTTTCAATATGGAATTTCTGGCCTATTGGAAGAAGTCGCCTTATGCTTCAATTGATTTTTTGTGTTCTATTCAATTTTTTTTGAAAGGAAATGCCATCATTCGCTGCAAATTTTTTGGCTCAATCTATTGTCAGAAACGTGAGATTGAATGTGTATTTCTTTTTATGCTTGAAACTTTGGATATAAATATATAGTATTTCTAATTCTCTTTCTAAATTTCATAAATATTTTTTTTTCAAATGTATACTTTCTGACAAAGAGAGTCTCAGGAAGTACTCAAAATGTGATTTTTAATTTCATCACTTTTTTGGCGACACTAAGCGATTTTATTTAGAGAATTATTTTGGAAATTAGAGAATTTTCGAGATCAATTTCGTAAGTAAAGAACTTATTAGGAGATTGATAGGATATGGATATATTGCAATAAGACATTAGAACAATGTGATACTTAGCAAGATTAGATCTGAATATGGGAAATGAAACTGCAAATTCTCTAATTTTTTTTGTGAGCATTTATTGCATTTATTTGGTAAAGCTCACACATTGAACTGAGATTCTTTATGCGCTAAAGTATAAAAATAGTAAGTTTCCAATGTGTTTTTAAAATAATTGCACATAAACAAATACTGGCTGGAGCAATGCATTTAAAATATTATTAAGATTTATCATCGAAAATTATCAAAATTGATAATCCAAAAAGTCTTTGTAATATCCTTATGCATTTTTTTTCATTATTTATAATGAATTTATAGGCTTTAATGAAAATAAGAGAATGACTAGAATCATATTCTCTCGGCACATAGAATTGAAAATGGAGTTACTATAAAACTAAATGGATTTATTATTTTGGTGTAAAAAATAAATAAATTCAATTATTTAGTAAGAACTATGGTTTAATTTTTGCACCACGTGATATTAGAAATTTAGCTGCTTCTTCCTCATTATGAGTTATTGCACAACAAAGGGGAGTCATATCATGAAAACCCTTTGCATTGATGTCTGCTCCATGTGAAAGTAAAGTTTCTATAATTTCTTTATTACCATTACATGATGCAGTGAAGTGCAGTATATCTAAATTATCTCTTATGTTGATATCAGCACCATTTGAGATAAGAAATTTTACTATTTCTTCACAACCATTTTCAGCGGCATAATGAAGAGCAGATTTTTTATAATTGTCTTCAATAGCATTGACATCAATACCGCATGCAATTAGAAGTTCTGCAATTTCTTTACTATTTTCTCTTGCTGCAAAATGAAGAGCATTAAAACTACGAGAAGTTTTTGCATGTATATCAGCACCATATGCAATAAGGAGTTCTGCTGTTTCTTTACTGTTAAACAATGCTGCATGATGAAGAGGAGTCAAATCTTGATTACTTTTTGCATTAACATCAGCTCCATACGTTATAAGAAGATTTGCAGTTTCTAAACTATTATGTTCTGCAGCAATATGAATCGAAGATTTACGAGACATTTTAATTGTTGTAGCAACATTGGCTCCATGGGCAATAAGAAATTCAGCGGCTGATTTGTTATTAACAACTGAAGAATAATGAAGTGCAGACATACCTCCTTTATTTGTAAAATTTATATCGGAAACATGTGAAAATAAATATTCAATGAGATTAGGAATAAAAAAACAAGGTGAATAAGTAAAACATTCATTGAAATTGTTTGTTTGATCTAAATAAATGAAATATGCATGAATATTATGATAGTAATAGCAATAATTCAATTCTATTTCGAGGTTGTGCTCATTCATTAGATAAGTAACAAAATCAATGTTATGTACAGCTAGTGAATATTGCATACAACTGCCATTAATTTTTTGTTCTTTCATACATTCACTCATAATATCTGGATTTTCTCCTAAAAACGAATTATAAAGACAAAGACGAGTAGTTTTTGAATTATATTTTGATCTCAATAGTTTGAAACATTTAACAGATCCATAATAACTACATAATTCAATCAGTGAATATGGAAAGTCTTGAATTGGATATAAATCAATTTTCGATTTTTGATTTAAATTAAAACCTTCTTGTTCAGTGAAGGAAATAAATGCATCAATGTCATCATTCACAATAGCATTATAAATTGTGTTTTCTTCATGAAGATTTGGAATGGATTGAATAATGTCATATTTATCAAGGTGAAATTCTTGGCAAAGTTTTGTCATGAGAGATTTGTATCCTTTAACATATCGATTATTAAATCGAATGATACCTTTAATAATATTTATCATACTATCTGCACTAAAATATGATGTTTCGATCAAGTTATTTTTGATTTGTTTGTAAACATTTGTAATTTCTTCACCTTCGTTAGACCGAAGCCTGTGTAGTGCATTAAATGTATCATCATAATCTTTATATTTACTGATAAGCTCGTTATAAATATGATGGTCGCTCATAAAAAAAGTATTTTTATCGGCGTGAAGACACAAAACAAGACAATCATTCAATATACCATAGTGAATGCATTCAAATACAAGAATTATACTTAAAGTCGATTTATTTATTGAAATTGAAATTATTTCTGTTTGAATACCAGAAAGAAAGAAAAAATACTTTGTATGCTCATTTAATTCTGATATCAAGAAAAAGCATGTGAGCATAGCAGGTTCAAAAGAATTTTTTTCGTACAAATGCTCAATCGAGTTAAAATACTAATTGAAATATACGAAATTACAAAAAGTAAACATTTTATTCATATATTACTTAAAACTCATGTGCTTATTCTCAAAAATGGTCGAAACAATTTTATGATCTTAAACTTTGAATTTTAATTATGCCTTTATTCGTTCAGTTGAGTATATTCGTACAAACTCTCGTTATCTGATAAATTAACTATAATAAATTAACATTTTTAATAATTTGATGGTATTATTGGCTTGCTAGTATAATATAATATAAATTAGAGTTTGTTGCTCTAGAATGTATCTGGAACAATTGCATTGATCTCAGATTAAGAAATACTGCTAACAAGTTTATTATTTGCTTGTGTTCTGTAGAAAAACGAAATAAATCAAATCTTATTCATTGACTCGAATTGTGTATGAAAAACTATTGATTCAGCTTATGGGATATTGCTGCTCGGAGCACTTGCGAGATTTATGCCGAGCATAAATTTGAATGTCACTTTTTACCCTCAACAGCCCTTGTATAGTAATCTCAATTCAAATGATATTTAATTATTAGTTCAAACTTTTTCATTTGTGTTTTCAATTTTCAGAGGTTTGAAAACAAAAATAATAGACAGGCTGAGAATTCGTACTCTATATTATATGGTATTTATATAACCTATATTTCTTATCGACTCTCTGAAATAAAGTTGTCATTTGACAAGACTGACATTTTATAATAATGTTTTTCTTGTTATGTGCCCGTCTTGTTGGAGCTACATTTGAAGAACAATCTTGCAGTGTATGCAAGATGCTAACATGGCGAGTTCCACAATTGCTTGCACAAGGTAAAAGCGACGAAAAATTTCAAGGGAGTTCAACTGTTTTTGCCCCGCAGTAGAGTCAAGCTCCGCGTATGCATGCGAGAGTATTGTTCTGCCATGAGGGCTCACAAGCGCGAAATAATCAGATACATTAAGGCAGGCGAGAAACCATCAGAAATATGTTTTTCACATAAGTTTTGCCCCAAAGCACCAATGGACATGCTCATCAAAGAGTATTTAAGAGAAGAGTTCCAAGAAGAGAATTAAAACCATAATTTCTGGAATAAAAGTTAATGCAAAAGCTTGAATCTTTACATTTTGTTATATAGTTTGAGCATATACATAACAACTAATATCGAAACATTTTATGTTTATATGTTTTCAAGAAAATTGAATTCTCAATAAGAAAAAAAAGTTTATTCTAGCAATAGTAAAAATACATCGTAGTGAGTAATGAGTCTACTAAGCATCTTGCTCATGGACATCGGATTTCTATGATAATTTCATGGGAAATGTGAATTTGATATTTTTCATTTCTGGTTTAATAAACGCAGGTAGGTCCTTAATGTTTGCAATAAACCGCAACAAATGTGTTGGATTCGGTTTCAATATGGAATTTCTGGCCTATTGGAAGAAGTCGCCTTATGCTTCAATTGATTTTTTGTGTTCTATTCAATTTTTTTTGAAAGGAAATGCCATCATTCGCTGCAAATTTTTTGGCTCAATCTATTGTCAGAAACGTGAGATTGAATGTGTATTTCTTTTTATGCTTGAAACTTTGGATATAAATATATAGTATTTCTAATTCTCTTTCTAAATTTCATAAATATTTTTTTTCAAATGTATACTTTCTGACAAAGAGAGTCTCAGGAAGTACTCAAAATGTGATTTTTAATTTCATCACTTTTTTGGCGACACTAAGCGATTTTATTTAGAGAATTATTTTGGAAATTAGAGAATTTTCGAGATCAATTTCGTAAGTAAAGAACTTATTAGGAGATTGATAGGATATGGATATATTGCAATAAGACATTAGAACAATGTGATACTTAGCAAGATTAGATCTGAATATGGGAAATGAAACTGCAAATTCTCTAATTTTTTTGTGAGCATTTATTGCATTTATTTGGTAAAGCTCACACATTGAACTGAGATTCTTTATGCGCTAAAGTATAAAAATAGTAAGTTTCCAATGTGTTTTAAAATAATTGCACATAAACAAAT